GGACACTCTTGTGGGACACTCTTGTGGGACACTCTTGTAGGAAACTCTTGTGGGACACTCTTGTAGGACACTCTTCTGGGTCACTCTTGTAGGAAGCTCTTGCGGGGCACTCTTTTGGGACACTCTTGCCACACGGCCTGCCCATACACTAGAAGCAAACATATCACATGATGCCACCCATCATCCCGCTCACCAGCGACACGCCGCGTTTACACCACCCTGCTTCGCGCTCCCCAGTGGCACAGCGCCACGCAAACGCACTTTCCACCAAGGCCGCGCAAATCCCAGTGGCACTGCGAATGTCGTGTCACCACACAGTCTGCCCACACACCAGAAGCAAACATATCACACGATACCACAGATCATCCCGCTCACCGCCGCGTTTACACCAGCATGTTTCGCGCTCCCCAGTGGCACGGCGCCACGCAAACACACTTCCCTCCAAGGCCGCGCAATTCCCAATTGCACTGCAACATCGCGAACGTAATTGCGTCACACGGTTTGCCCATACACTAGAAGCAAACATGTCACATGATACCACCAATCATCCCGACCAAGGCCGCGCAAATCCCAATGGCACTGCGACACGTTTCCATCCGAAACCATCTCTAAAAGCTTCCCCCAATGGCAGCGCCTTAGCGCCCTACTGCGAACGGCGGCGAACGGTTGCGAACGGTTGCGGACAGTTGCGAACGGTTGCGGACGGTTGCGAACGCTGAGACAACGCGTCGCGAACAAGGCTCTACCCCCAGACCCCCAGAGTTAAACGAGAACCCTTCGCTACGCATTCGGGAAAAGAAACGCCACCCCACTCCAAACCTGGATACAACAGGCAGCTAGCCCATCATGCCCTTTTCCACTACATTATATAACTACATACATCTCAGAAACTCCGGTTACAATTGATTGCCCAGGTGTGTGATGAACTACCGATTGGATGTCCAGGGTGCCGCCGGGGCCACCATTTGTCACCAGTTGGCCCACACACGGCAGGCCACGACACCTTGTCTCCAGTCATCCACTCATAGGATGCCTTTCCACCCTGCACCTGAGCATGGAAGAGAGATTAACCCCCCTTGGAGAATTCTGCAACTGTCGTTTAGAACCTCCAACCTGGGTACACTCGATTGGGAAGAACTGGCTTTACCAAGTTTATGTATGTGGTCATCGCACAGGGCTTTGCAGGTATATGATTGTGAGAATCCGGCAGCTCCTAGGCAGGCAAAGTGGCGTAGCTGACATTCTTGTCAAGTTCACACTGCTTCGTTTCCTTGTCATGGTGCAGTTGCTCTGCTAAAGATCTCAAGTGTGTGGAAATGAGAACGGCTTTGAGGTTCACACAATCTTGTCGGACACCTCAAACTTCTTGTGTTTGTGGTTCTGGAGCTGCTTCCTGAGCAACAAGGAAGGCACAAGTCGGCCAAGACTTGAATCCAATCATTCTTGTCTGGGCATGTCCTTCCTCAATGAGACTCCACAGAGTACCTCGTTCAGGTCAAACCCATACAGGTCACCAACAGATCCGTCAGATCAGAAAACGCACCGAAAACGCACATGACTTTGACCATGTCCAAACTCTGGCTTTTTTCAGAATGGCCTGGGGCCTGGGACAAACCCCAGCACTGAGATTGGATGAGCACCGTGGGCATTCCTGCAAATCCCAGGTCCCTCCCTCCCTTGACCGAGGTGGCCCACCTGGTGGCGATGCCCTTGCGGCTCTCCGCTTCCCGGTTCATGCGCTGGATCAGCTCCTCAGAGGAGCAGAAAAACCCACCCCCTGAGTTGACACAAAGAGGGGCAGAGTCCACACCCAGCTTTACTCTCAGTCCTGCCGCCTCTCTTTGATGCCATCGTTCACACCGGCCTACAGAAGGGCAAGCAAACTCTTTGGAACCTGAAGAGAGGAGACGCCTTTGCAGGGAGACCTAAGGATCCTTTGGTCCAGCTGATAACCAAGGTCCATATCGTTGGGATCTCGTTTGGACATCACTTCGGCGGCGGCCTCCATCATGCCATCAGCATCCTTGTCGGCTTCCCTCAGTGAGCAAGCTTCCTTGTTCATGGCTGTTCCTTCCATGTAGCACGAAAACGCTGCTGAAGCTCTTTGCTTGCTATTAGAATCACCTAAAAAGTCAAGACTTCCTTCACTCCGGCCAACGACTTTGGCTCCGGACTCATCCCTGGCCTTTTCTCCGCTTTGCGTCACCCTCAGACCGTGGGACACTGGTGACAGTGGTCTCTGTCAACACAAAGGACAGTGGTCGGGTCACAGGAGGCTGGTCGCACGTGGAAGGTTCTCAACCTAGAGTGTCCCCTCAAGAGTGCGGCGATCCAAATCCGACCCAACTTCCACGTGCGTCACAGGCATCACGTGAGAAGTCCAATGGCAGAGTCATCTTGTCCAAAAGGAAAACACAGCTATGGAGCCCCCAGTGCGGCACATCACCGCAAGCTGTTCGCCACAAAGCGCTGTCCGGGCACTTCCAATCCGTCCGATCTCGGACGGCTAGGCCCGGCACGATTGTTTTCCCGCAATCCACGGATGAGCCATCACCTGGCTCCACCGAGCTGGACCAACAGCAAGCCCAGCTCGGAGCTCGGAGCTCGTCTTGAGCCACTCGATGTTTTGAAGCAAAAGGTTCTCTTCTTTGGGAAAACCAAAAGTCAGCCAATCCACCAGGACCCTAGGACCCTCATACATCCTACATCCTCCACCTCGCTGGAGCTCATGCGAGTCTTCTCCTCCTTGTCCAGCATCTTCCTGATGTACTCCTGGCAGGGCGCCACCAGGGTCGGAGCGGATGACGTGCTCTGAGTCGTCGTCTTGGATCATGTGGACAATGTAGACACAAGTGACTACCTGGTCTACTTGCTTCTATGTCTTTGACTCTCCTGGAAAGAGCTCCTACTCCAACCAACCAGCTGCTGCAATCAGTGAGGCAACTTTAGTCAAACTGTTTATTTGTGGTAACGGCGATAGGATCGAGATCTTATTTCAAACACAGTCACACACACACAGGAGAGAGAATCATTGCTTCAACAAACTTCATTAACCCTTCTCCCTGGTATCTTCTCGCCCAGCATCATCCATGAAAAATCGAAAAGACGGCACTCCTCGCAGACTGGATGCACCCGCTTGGGGATACGCACCTCCTTCCCCCTGGCCGTTGGGCTCTTTTCCGCGTCCACAGGCGCGAGCACGGGCGCTCGCGGACGCTCGCAAGGGTCCACGTGAAGGGCAGAACACGCGAAGCAAAAGACGAGTTGAACCACTGCTGAAAAGGCACTGGACGAGTTGAAGCACTTTGATGAACCCATCAGTCTTTGATGAAGCTCTTTGAACTTC